CCACATACTATAAACAGTAACCCTTAAATTATTTTTTTTAAGTTTCGATTATTTCAAAAAATAGGAAATGATTCATTGTATATAAGGAGTATGTACACAATGAATCATGCTGTTTTTAATAATGAATTACATGTTTTATACTGCGAATTGTTGAGATTATTTTATTTCACTATATTTTAAAATGTTTCTATAATAATAAAAAGTAGATAATTATAAAATGGTAAGGATTTATAAAGCCGACCGTGTGTTTTTCTGTCAGATTCTTTTATTTTGAGTGAAATGAGTAATATTAATATTAATAAATTTTAATATTTTTATTAAAATTTTAGGTGGGAGCAAGGGCCATATTTTAAATAATTATCACAATAAATTATTAAATTTTAAGGTTATCGTAAAAAAAATTATGAATCATCTGCATAACAATGAACCATAGTTTTTGTTCATTATATAAAAAGTTCATTATAGACTATCTAATCTTTTCTATGATAATCTTCAAAATAATGTAGTAAAATAATACAACAGAAAAAAATTGCTTACTCAATAAAAAGCCAAAACTAATGTACAATGAAAAAAATGATAGGTATAATAACAAAACCATAAAAAAATGCGTAAAACTTATGCGTATAACTTATACTACTTATATAAAAAACTTACTTTACAATTCAAAATTCTTAAAATGTGATATTACAATACATGGCCGTCCTTGATGCGATATGCCAATCGACTGGAAACTGGGAAGGGATTCAAATGTGAGTCGCTGCTGATAATAGCATAATTTGATAACGTCGCATTTACGAAATATCGCAATGATTCATAATGTACTACTATTCATTGGACTATCTATCCTAATTAAAATTCTAAATTCTATATATCATATTTCATATAATATTTGATCATATATAAAATCTTAATTATATATAATATCCAGACACAGTGAAAAATGATAATAAAATTGCCATCTATTCGACGTCGATCGACATCGATTCGATGTCGACTCCATTATCATTTTTTTCTTCGAAGATCGATCGACATACCAATTCAAGTCGATCGTAGCGCATTCTTCATGATTTTCCCCATTGCCACTCACCAAAATCTGTAGTGAGCGACGGAGCGACAGCGTTATGGCGTTAGGGGATGAGGTGTAGTGGGGACAATTAGCTATAGTTGACGTCAAAGAGAATCAAGCGAAAATGGAGCGAATAGCGTTCTCTTCTCTAATTGATTTCGCCATTTATATTTATGATCATATATAACCATTTATGAAATTATGTATAATCAGATATAACCATATATAAGTTATACATAATTATATATATTTATATAATACATGACCACGTGTAAAATTTTTTTACTGGGATATAACCTTTGTTCAAAATGTTTTTCTATATCTATTTTATTTTTAAACATATAAATAATAACAGAAATTATTTCTGTTGAAATCAACTTACTTGAAATGAAATTGGGAGAATATTGTCATATTTAATAATATATTCCGTTTGACGATAATCTAAATAATTTTCAGACAAAAGAGCAGCAAAGTACTGACTCTTGCTGATTAATTTTTGCTTTTCAACTTCAAATCGATTCTCTTTTAGAATCAATATTATCGTATCATGCGACTTCTCAATTTCCTGGTTCTTATTTTCCATTCTAAAGTCAATATGATAAATATATTTATCCTGATTGAAAAAAAAGCTTTTACGAAAAAGTATAGAAAAACTACATAGATTGAGATAAAAGCTTAAAAATTCTTAATTTTTCGTAGATATTCGTAGAATGAGGAGTTGTTTGAGAGCGGAGAATATCTTGGTTTTTCAAACAACACCACTCTACGTATCAAAAAAACCTACGAATTTCTAAGATATTGTCTCAATCTATGTAGTTTTTCATAAAAATTTTTCCGTCAAGGAGGGTACTAAACATAGAAACGGTAATAAACATATAAATATATAAATTATTAGCACTCACTTTTATTCTAGGTTTTTCACTCACACATAGCGTCAATATCTGTACCTTCTCGAGTCTTCGTCACAATTGCCAGCAAGGTCGATGTGAATACTGGCCTAATATCTACTGCATAATAGTGTTCGAAAAATATCTAATATCTAGTATCGATACAAAAAGATATCGATACCGAATCGGTCTGTGTATCGATACCTTCGTAAAACTTTTGATTTTATTTACAATTCCCTTACAATAGATTCACATTAAAAAATGTATTATATATTTATTTCTATCACAAGATACATATATAGATATTTCTGTGTGGACAGTTTTACCTTTTAATATCATTAAAGATATGGTTGAATTACTACGAATACTTCGAAGCATTTGATTAACCAATTGGAAGAAAGAATTTTACTAATTGACCAATCAAAAAATGCTTCAAAGCATTCGTAGCAGCAACTTGTTCACATTCTCAATTACAAAAATAAAAAGATTTTTAAATAAAACTTAAAAACAAACAGAAATCAGTTAATCTGCTTATCTAATAATATCATAAGAAGGAAATAGATAATATTTTAGAACTGTTTTACTAGTTTTTATTATCTATCAGTCTTTATGTAAATAACATAAAATATATTGCGGGATTTACCTACAATAAAAGTCATAACAGTTGTTGAGTCTTAAGGGAAATGCGAACTCTGATGAAATCGCTATTTTACCGATAAAATACGATACATCGATATATCTTTATATGTGTACTACATCAATATCGCACATACGTACAAACTTTTTTCTAACTAATCGTTTGTATTAAGTATCTAAACCTAATTCTAAGTACTCAACATTCATATAATCTCTAGTCCAAGATTGTTTTATGCAATATATAAAATATAAAACTTGTATAAAGCAAACATTATTACGAGTCGACGTTAAAAGTCGGTAACAAAACTAATAATTTTCAAACTTTTTTTCATTTTTGGCATAAAATCGACCGATTTGGACTACATTATATATTACGTTTATATATTAATTATAAAGAAGAATTTTTTAATCTGTAAAGGTTAGAAAAATGCTTGTTTGGAAAAATTGATAAAACAGAATCACTTTAGAATTCCCTTAAGTCGTAGAAAACTAACCACTCACATTCGAATACTACCTTGATCAAAAAGTTCCCGGAATTCAGAAAATTCAAAATACAGTTTTATTCATCAAAAGTGATATCGTCCCCTTCAAAGTAGTACTTCCCATCGACTGCAACGCACTTATGCCAGCGCTTGATCCGGCCCTCGAAACATTTTTGAACTCTATTGTCGGTATAGCCATCAAAGCCGTCTTCAATCTTTCCATTACTTTCTTTCGGCTGTTAAAACGCGTTCCCCGTAATAGTTTTTTGACTCGAATAGAAAAAAATCGCAGGGAGCCATATAAGGTGGCTGTTGGATAGTATTCGTTTCGTTCTTGGTCAAAAATTCACTCGTTGTTGCAAATTCGACTCCATTTTTAAAACTGTAAAAAATCGAAAATACGTGCAGAGGTAGATGTACTCAAGACGGCGTAACTTTTACAAATGTCAAGCTATGGTAATAAAATTTGGTAAAACTTTACAAATGTCAATGATAGATGGCAACCTAACCAAAAAAACAGAACTCAAATCAGCTGACTCAGAGCAGCTGACTCGCCTGATGATAATTCCGGGAACTCTTTGATCAAAGTGGTATAAGAAGAATAATGACTATGATTGGTTAATTTTCTACGACTTAAAACTCTACGATCGCTATGATTTCTATTGTAGACCTCACATATGTTTATTTTAAAGAAGATAAAAGATATAATATGTGCTTATGTAAAAAAAAATGAGATACATCATCTTTTAAGCAATATCGATATTCCAAACGATCTCGAAAAGCGAATTGATATACATAGCAGACCCAATGCGCTGTCTATTCTGCCATACTTGCTTTCATCAATGTATTTCATTATTACGTGACTACATCTTTTCATGTTGCATGTATCGGTGACAGCTCTTAAAAACATTTTATTTTTATTCATAATATCTGCAAAACATACTAATATAAAATTTAGGTTTTTTTTTTTTACATCTATATAGTGTATAAACTGTAATACTTATCAATATAACACAATGCATCTTTAAACAACGTCGTTGGAGAAGTGATATTTATTGGATTGTCCGGAAAGTTCGTGCCGATTTTGAAGGAAAATTGAAACGCAGATTTAAATTTTAGTATACATTATTAAATTATATAGGTTAGTCGACACGAACTTTCGGACAACCTAATAAATACTCCTGTTTTCAATATCATTCCTTCAACGAGATTGTTTAAAGATGCATTACGTTATATTTATAAGTATTGCAGTTATACACAATATATATAATTCTTATTCATCATATTCAGTGTGATATCACCTTCCACACATATTAGAAAAACATATATATATATATATATATATATATCTGTTTTTCTTATATATATATATCTTATAATTCAAACCTTTATAATATAAACAGATTTTAAATAGAGTCAGTTATACATTTTTCATAACAGAAAGACAATAAATATACAGAATTTGTGACATAACGACAGATTAAATCGAGATAGATAAGTCGTACGCATTTTGTCGTCAGATTGATAGAAACCAAATAGAATTTATGTTAACGTAAATAAATAAATAGATAAATATTTCTTGCTTTTCGGCTATGAAAGGAGTTTTACCAATGTTATATTTTACCAAAGTTTTATTTAATAAATATATATAAGAAATTTGGTAAATATATATCCCTTATTTTCATTTATAAAAAATTCAAAATTTGCAGGGTGATATTTCTTTTGTAAGTCGAAAAATCCTATACCATTTTGCAATTTTCACAAAAGTCAGCGAAATATTATATTAATGTTTAGACATTAATAAGCATATATCCGTTTGGCTTATCTCCAAATGCAAGCGAGCGATGGGATATGATTACCCAATGCTAGGAATGTTCTCTTTCGCTATTATTTCAATAAAATAAAATAATATATTCCATAATTCCTACCTTTCCTCTAATAATAATTTCAATAAAAATTTAAATAACAACAAACAAAGCTACAAAATAGCATTTCGCTTAGCTCGATTTCTGCTGTCAATCTGCTCTCTGATTGCACAGATTTTGCTTGGTTTTTGCCGCCAATTTAATGATTTATATCGTCGAACAAATTTTTATATCATTAAATAAATTTTGTCGATTAATCTGCTGTGACTAATGACATGCTCTGACCAGTTTGCCAACATTCTACTAACATTTTACTTACTGTAGGATTCATAATCATTTTTAGAGTTATATCTTAATGCTTCAGAATTATAAGTCGCAAACTAGTTTCTACATATAGTTAATTTTTCATCCAAAACGGAATAATTAAAAGAATTATATAAATATTAACAACATGCACTCGATGTGCGAGGTTAAAAGCGTAATTAAAAGAAAAATATTTAGGAAATCCAGTAAATTCTATGTACATACTAGAACAAGCTTTAAGAGCGATCGATTATGCAAGAATGACAGTGCAAGTTGAGACGTCTGTTTGTCTTTAATATACTAATTAAACAGGTAGACATACTTTACTCACACAAGTGTCTCTCTCTCTCTCTCTCTCTCTCTCTCTCTCTCGCTCGCTCGCTCGCTCGCTCGCTCGCACAGTCGTCCACTTTCTGTCATTTGCATAAGAAAGCTTCAGTATGATGAAAAGCAAGATAAAATTCAAAGATAATTTCGCACTCAACTTTACACATTTATTTAGTATTTAAATACAAAAACAAAAGTTAACGAAGAAATATTATTTATTTAATGACAGACAAATTTAAGGCTACATTAATAAATAAATTAATAAATTATAAAAGCAATTCTATGATCAATCTATATAACAAAATATATATAATAATCTTTTTATATAGAGAATTATGACATAAAATCTAGTAAATCTCTACCTGTATACTTTTCATATTGTATTAATGAAATGCGTATTGTAACTATGTAATTAAAATCATCTGTATAGATATCGTAGATATCAATACTGGATTTGCTTTCATGTCCAAAACTGGCCACAAGAATTAATTTGTTTTTCACAAACGCAGCAGTCATATTTCTATTTTCAGTGGACATACTAAAACATTTGTAGAAATTATTTTAATAAATAACATACTATTTATTTTATTATTCTTATCATTTATTTAAAAATGCATTAAGATATTTACATAGTCTTAAGGAGACTATGTAAATTCATTCTTTGACATAATATAAACAACTTTAAAGTCTGGTAATTAAACTACAAAATTTTATTCTTAGTTCTATTTTTAAATAGTAAAATTTATATACCGTATTTCATGTGTTATTTTTCCACGGACTCTATGTATATACTATTATTCTCCTAACTTCTTAGTAGAAACTTAAATCAAAATTTTGATTTTCCTTAATACATGATTGATTTGATGCAAAAATAGCTTAAACCGGATTTTAAATGTGATATTGTATATTTTTTTGGTCGCTGAACATGATGCAATAATTCATTTAACCCTACGATATATATCTTAAGAAATATAGCCTGATTAATGTAAAAAAAATGACCAAATTTTTTAATTCAAGATCGATTTTAGCAAGATTCCAAACATTTAAATGGGTTATTTCCCTCAAATTGTAGATCCGTTCACCTAGAACAAGATCCAGTTGGAATTTTTCCGGGACTTCTTATACAGGATCTTTAAAAATTGCATTTAACTGAATTATAAAACATTTTTAAGAATAGAAAAAAATTTGTTTACAAAGTTCTAAAGCACATCGCTTTTTGACATCCTGAAATCAAATGCCTCAATTTGACAATAAAAAACTTTATTAAGAAATGAATACATAATAAAAAAAATATATATTGCCTAATCGGATTTATAAATCGTATCAGTCATATGTATGTGTGTGCGCACGTGCTACGTGTATCTCCTTCTTTCTCTTTTCCTCCCCCACACAGTTATCTTTGATTGTAAAATATTTACTTAAAATACTAATATTAAACAAAGGTCAGTGATCTAGCAAAAAATTTTTAAATAAGTTAAATTATTATTATTAGTATATCAACATAAATTATGAATTAAAATCGACGCTTCAAGATCACAATCCTTCTTCAATTAATGTAATTTAAATATATTGTGCATCCTAATCATACATCATGTAATCACATACTTTTCTAATAACACAAATTTATAAATAATATAAATTAATAAGTTTTTCATTGTGTCGATAAAACGCTGACATCATATTATAAATTGGTCATCTAATAGACATACATTCAAATAAAAAAGTCAACTGCAGTGAAATTTTTTTACATACAAAAATTGAATAATGTCTCCGTTTCTCGTCATAATAAAAGAGTGGTGTCATATCTATATCAAATCATTGTACAAATAGGTCAAATCTATTGTTGTTCAGCAAAAGTCAATGATCAATGATTAAGTTAAAAATTAATTTGAGTATATATATATATA